GTAGTCATCAATAAATCCAACAAGAAATTCAAGAGAATATTTTCACCCATTGATTCGTTAGAATCTGGAATTTACTATCACATGTAGTAGTTAAGGCAAAGCTAGAGAAGTAAATGAGGGATTAAGTAATGGATGTATATGTTGATGGGATTAGATGAGGTAAGGTAGAAGGAAGCTTTTGTGAGGTTTACCACTGACTTGTATCAGTTGGGCTTGGTGCCTGTAAATTTTGTGTAAGATGTATAGAACAACTTGGCAAGCATTAGAGGTCATCAGACAATTGAGGGTGGTAGTTGATGTTCAAAACTGAAGTAATAAAATGGACCAAGGTGATAGGTCCTCTCTGCCAAAAGCAACAATATAAATTATTGTAGGAAGCCCTGTAGTGTCTGAAGTAGAAATCTAATTTTGCAATTTGTGTAACAGTTAAACTGAAGCTTGGTTTTTCTCTCCCTACATAGAATTGCTATCCAATAATATCTACATGCCTGTATTTAATATAGGTATTAAGCACTAGCATTTTAGATGATTATTTTAAATGTACTTGCAGGCAATCTTTTAAGTTTGGTCTTTTACTTAGCCTGTTTTTATTGGTCTGTGTTGATGGAATGTAATCAAAATATGACACCTTGGCCTTGCAAAAGTATTGTGTTTCATGAGACTTATTTTTATCATTTTAATAGCTGTCTGTGATGGATTTATGTACTTTGCTAAACTGCATAGGCTCAATCCATTTCAGCTAACTCCAGAATACAGAAGCTTTCAGATTTCTTCACGAATTTCAAAATTATTGCTAAATTGTAAATGCTCTTCATTTTTTAAAATTCGAAATAGGCAAAGATTTATTTATTTTACAGAAGGTAACTCTGGAAATGAGTATGGTCTAAGTGTTCTGTTGTACTTTTAATGTTTAGAATTGATGTACATTCACGTTTTCCACACAGAATTTAATTAGTCCCAGTGCCTGCCTCATGTGTTTAAATAATTATCCATGCTATTGATATTGAATCATGGATAGTGTCTTTGTTTACAGTTTGTTTTTTTCCAGTAAAACATTATGTTTCAAAAGCGGAGGATTACATGAGGCAGTATGGAGAAAATAGTTAAAAGGAATAGAACTGCAACCATCTCTGTTAAATACTTGCCCCTTGAAGTTTCCTGGGTAATGTTTGATCTAATCACATGTCTGAATGACCAGGGAATGATTGACATTCTATGACTTGATGACTGACTGCATGACTCAGTTATACCAAATGGAAGGCATCTGAAATGCCTAATTTGGATGACTTTATCAATCTAATTAAAAAGTCATTCTGCTGAGAACCATCATCTGAAGGGCAATAGATTTACATTTGAATTCTCACATTAATTAGTTCCTGATCTTAGCCATGTTTTTGGGAGGACCAGAATAAAAGTTGGAGTTGTCAGTTAGCTATGTCACACATGTGGTGTGATTGACAGAGTATCGTTGGTGAAGGCCTACAAAGAAGTAAGTCTGGTCTGGCAGCATCTGTGGCGAGAAAACAGTCAACATTTCAAGTCTGGTTCTGAAGAAGGGTCACTGGACCTGAAATGTTGACTCTGCTGTCTGCCCACAGATGCTGCCAGACCAGCTGAGCTTGTCCAGCTATTTCTGTTTTGTTTCACATTTCCAGCATCCACAGTTCTTTGTTTTCTGTAAAGAAATAAGTAATTTTCTAGAGATAGTAGGAACTGCCGGCGCTGGAGAATCTGAGATAACAAGGTGTAGAGCTGGATGAACACAGCAGGCTGGGCAGCATCAGAGGAGCAGGAAAGCTGACGTTTCGGGTCTGGACCTTTCTTCAGAAAAAGTCATTTTCTAGTCACAGTTCCTCTGTGAACCAAGGATATAGGAAAGGGAATGGAACTGAATATAACTGAGAAAATAGATAACACAGTGTGGAGCTGGAGGAACACAGTGTGGAGCTGGAGGAACACAGCAGGGCTAGGAAAGCTGGTGTTTCGGATTGGGACCCTTCTCGGGTCGGGAAGAAGGGTCCCGATCCGAGAAGGGTCCCGACCCGAAACGTCAGCTTTCCTGCTCCTCTGACGCTGCCTAGCCTGCTGTGCTCCTTCAGCTCCACACTGTGTTATCTCTGACTCCAGCATTGGCAGTTCTTACTATCTCTAACTGAGAAAATAGCTTATTGGGAGAAGAGGATGATGATAGCATCATAAAGAAGGATGCTTGTTCACTATTTTGAAGTTCTTTTCACCTCAAATGTTAACTAAGTAATAAGTCTATCCAAGGTCTGGAAACTATCCCACTTCTCACAACTGCTTCTACTGTTTTTCTCCCACTCATGGTCAGGATACAAGAAGCTTGACGCATGATGGATTACCTTCCTGACTGTTTTTATTCCATCAATACTCAGTGGTCAGTGGTTGCTTCATATTTCTATCCCTTTGCAACAAGGCTCATTTTGCTACTCAAACTTTTCCTTCAGACTCAAATCTTGGAATTGCTACTGCTTCAATAATATCGGTGTAGTGTTGTGCAAATAACTTCTTCAGTCTTCTGTGTTATCTGTAGTGATATCATCATTCAGAGTCCTTCATGGTTTGTAGTTCTTGATTCACTTTTAGGTCTGTGACAATCTGGAAAGAACCTTCACTGAAGTGCTTGCTGCTGGCTTTCTTCAGCTCTGAGCTCATCTGATTTGGTGCGTTATAGTCCACACCTGATTTCAACAATCTGAATATTATTGTAACAGCAGATTCCTAAGTGATTGTGGGATCTGCCAGTAGTGAAAGGCATCTTAATTTGTCACAGTGTATGTTCTTCCGTGACGGGATACCAGGATTATCTGAGCTTGATTGCTCCTTTAGTACTTGCCCTCCATGTTGTCTTGTCTTGTTGAGAGATTGTGTAATAGATGGAGGATTTCTGTCCATTGACATATGCCTCCATCAGAGGTGCCTCCACTGACAATTAAACTCAGAGAGTAGTTCAATTTGTCAACTATTCCTCTATGGTTTTGTTGTTCACAGTGGTTTAAAAACTTGAAGATTTGAAACATAAAAGAGCACTAGTTTAGATCGGGGCCAGATGAATTGGCCTGATCTTTTAGAATACAATGTCTTATCTACTGTGTCTACCAGTACAGCAATGAAAATGTTATCTACATAGCCAAAGGTGACCAATAGTATACTGCAAGATCAAGACCATTGGTCGCAAATCAGATCAAGGCTAATGTTTCATTGTTGAACTCTAGATCCAATTTTACATTCCTCCTGTGCGGACAACTAGTTACATCCTTGCATATGAGTGAAAGAAATGTGCCAGTTTATCTGAAGCACCAGATTTCGGAATAACTAACTTGAATTCCTGTGCACTAAGCCAAATTGAAAACAACGGAGGCTTCTTGGAGTCGTTTTTGGTATTCTCTTAGGCTCGTGACGCTGATAAGCTCCATATTTGGTCACTGATGGACATGATTGCGAATTCACTGTGGTGGTTTCTTATTTTAAAATACATGACATTTTATATAGAGATGGTAGGAACTGCAGATGCTGGAGAATCTGAGATAACAAGGTGTAGAAATGGGCCCATTTCTGAAGAAGTGTCTAGACCCAGAACGTCAGCTTTCCTGCTCCTCTGATGCTGCTTGGCCTGCTGTGTTCATCCAGCTCTACACTTTATTATCTCTGATATCTTATATACTTCTTTTAAAAATGCTATCTCAGGAAAGCTAAACAGGCTGGCACTATTTCTCTTCCCTGTATTCCCTCCGTCATCTTCCCAGTGCAGTCAGTGTCTTGTGTGTTCTGTTGGTAGTCCTGCAGATAACACTTTCCTTTTTAATTTGTTGATTGTTGAAACCCACACTCAAGTGGAGATTTTCTTTCAGTTCAGATTTTAGGTGGTAGGACCTGGTGGTTGCAGCTATACTCAGCTCAGTGATGGACTCAGTAATTCATCATGGGAATAAAAGTAGATCATTTCAGTCCTTCAGTATGTCCTGCTCTTCCGTCAATTGGCTGATTGGTACCTTAGCTCCCATCTACTGCGGGGATTAACCAGGTACCTGTTTGAGAGCCAGCACAGTAGGAAGTAGGATAAGTGATGACCAAATAACAATATCTGTGATACCTGCCTTGGCCCTATAACCCTTGTACTATAAAAATCTAGTCGTTAATGTCAGTTTAGAAATATTTAATTGACCTAGTTTCAACGGCTGTTTGCAGGAGAGGGTTCCCGATTTCCACAATACATTTTGTCTACTGACATCATTCTAAACTTTCTCACTTGTAATTCCTTACTTTATAAAACTGGGAGAAAATTCTGTGGAGCCTGCCAAACCGTTCATCAGAATTCCTCTATGCCCTCCAAAGCTATGTAGAATTATATGGCACAGATTGAGGCTCTTTGGTTCATTTGACAATAACAGACGTCAAGTTACTGCCATTGATCCCACTTCCTTCGTGATGTGTCACCATATTGACCTGCTCTTTTGAGTAGGTGAACAGGACACAGCCCAGAAGATAGATAGGGTGCTATTTTAGGTAAAATGAGGCCAGTGATGTCAACTGGTATTAATTTGAAATGTCAGCCAAAACCTGCCAGAAGTGGAGAAGATCAAATTATTTTCCTCTTTTCCTTAAGAGGCATGGATACTCCTCCTGACTTCACCAGAAATTCTGGTCCTCCCTTGATCAGTAAAACCCACGTCCTAATTGTGGCCTGCTACTGCTTGTTCATGCCCGCACCTGTCAACATGGGTTTCAATCTGTCAGGCTGGAAACTGCAGCGTTTTATTTGAATAAGGCCCTGTTATGTTTGGGAGGGTTTCTACATCTTCGGCCTTGTTGGTTTCCTACACCACACCTCCTCCCACACCCCAACAGCATTGTTGATTGTAGAAATATGCATTTATTTTAATTATGTACATCTGATAAATGCAAAACTCCTATTTAACGTTTTTTAAAGTACCAGAACAGTAGTCTTCATTTTTAAATAAATTAACTTTTTTTTTCAGACATCATTGGCCCATGTTTTAGCCAGCAACAGTAAGAAACGGAGCAGTACAAGATTCGTAAGTCTTTCTGCTACAAGTGCATCCACAGACATGATTCGAGAGGTTGTTAAACAAGCTCAAAATGAACTAAAGCTATTCAAAAGAAGAACGATTGCATTCTTTGATGAAATTCACCATTTCAATAAAATACAACAGGTAAACATTTGTTTACTATCTGAAACTTTGGGAACACAAATGTTTTAAGTCACTTGTTTTACATTAAATTATGGAAGATTAATATGAAATGTGGAATAACAGTGTTGATCTCCTGTTTAAGATATCAAAACATTCTATTTAAACAATCAATACAAGTTGAATACTTCACTTAAACATATTTTGTCGTATAATTTTGGCATAAGCTGGCAAGCTACGTTTCTAGCATGAATCAATTTACGTTTTCTGCTAATCACTTTTATTTAAGCTGTTTTCTACTACTATGGATGAAGTAGTTGTAAACCATTGGAAATGGAAACTTACATTTTCAGTCTTTTTTGTGATAACAACTTTCTCTTTCTCCAAATCTCAGAACACATTGCTGCCTCACGTCGAGTGTGGAACAATCACACTGATTGGTGCAACAACAGAGAACCCTTCCTTTCAGATCAATTCAGCGTTACTGAGTCGTTGCCGTGTCATCGTTCTTGAGAAGCTGTCAGTAGAAGCTATGGAAACTATTCTGCTGCGTGCTTTAAACTCTCTTGGGATCAGTATACTAGGACAGGATAAAGAAGCTGGCTCTGTGGATGGCAGCAAAGAGTCTGAGTAAGTCCCTTTAGAACATAACTTGTAAAAACAGAATGTCCTGAATCTGGTGGCTGGGTGCCAGTAGGAAACTACTGTAAATATTGTATAAGTAGATATCAGTAAAATTGGGATTCCAAGGAAGAAAAACAGCACTAAAGTGTGCTGAGGACCATTTGATATTTTGACTGTAGCACTGGGTGTTTTGTTTTTAGATTGCCACTGACTCTGTAAGGATTCCTCATTTACTGCTTGTAACCCAAGCTACTAATGCTCCATCAAAGGTCATTATTCACTGGAAGAATCAAAATTGCCACTTGTTTTGCTCAATTCACCTAATGCTGACTGTTAATTACATGTCATGCTGGGAAAAAGCATTTAGTTCGATGACAGACTTTGTAAAACTTAACAGGTTATTGACGTCCAGTGTTAGAACTACCTCTATAGGAAACACGTCTTGGAGGAATTTCTTCATTTTACTAACAGAATAGGAGGATGATTGCTTGTTTTCTCCTTTTTAACAAGATTACATGCTGAGTAACTGTATCTTGCAACACTGTACTTTCCTAGAGTTGTTAACTAGTGAAAAAATGGAGTTGCTCCTATTTAGCTCAGTTTAATTTCTTTCCTAGTTTGGACAACAATAAGGTAAATTACAGGTGAAATTTTGAAAGCATGTCATGGAACAGATTTTGCTGAAAAAATAAACGGTTGAAAGATGTGGACTGTTATTAATACACCAGTCAGCCAGCTGCTTGTGACAAAGATATTCCCTGTGAATTGTAAGTTTCCACAAGTTGCTGGTAGATATGTGCTACACCATTGTTTGCTTCACAAAACAAATCTCACCCTGAGCATTCCCATAATTCTTATGAATTTGATGCATTTTCACGTTACTTGTTCATAAAACATATCAGTTTGTTATATTTGGCAATTAACAGTGGTAGTATCTTTGACCTATATAAGGGATGTCTAATCAACTCCTTAGCCAGAAGGTGAGCAATGAAAGTGTGGAGTTTCATTCCTTCAAGTTGTGAATTGTTGTTAGCTGTTTTGAGGATGGCAAATTTTTAGATTTTTTTCTTTTTCCTTTTATTTTCCTTTCTTGATCTTTCCTCTGAAAAGGGAAGGTTGACAGGTGATCAGATAAAGGATTTTAAAAATTATACATGTTTTCAATAGAACAGCCCAGCTTACTCCCAAGAGAAATGCACAAAGTCGAGAAACTTTCAGGTTCACTGAAAATTTTCATATCTGCCATGTGAAAAAGTGGTCCACGTTGCAGGATTTTAATTCTGGGGTTGGTTTTGCAATTGCGTCCTTTCCAGAAACAGATGCAGAAGCTGCTGAGTGGGCTGGTTAAATGGCCTGCCATGATTCTTTGGGGCTTCATCCCACTTGTGTTGTTCAGTTTTAGGATCTCATTCTCACAATCCCTCATCCATTCCCTATAACCTTATTTACACAACTGAGACCAACCTATATCCCTCCAGCTGTCCCAATGGCCCTTTTCCCATCTTGGTGTCAACCTGTGATATGCACTGTTAGTCCATACGTCTTCCAAGCCAACTCACCCAGTATCCGCTCTGGCAGATCTAAAATAAAGTTTGAAGCATCTTTTACAGCAGTCACTACGCTTTTTTAACAAAAAAGTATTTGATAAACAAAGGGCCTAGGCCTGAAACGTCAGCCTTCCTGCTCCTATGATGCTGCTTGGCCTGCTGTGTTCATCCAGCTCTGCATCTTGTTGTCTCGGATTCTCCAGCATCTGCAGTTCCTACTATCTCTCATATAATATTGTAGTTGGTTGACTCGCCAAGCTGGTTCATTGTTCCGCAGACGTTTCATTACCCTGCTGGGTAACATCAGCAGTGCAGCCTCCGATGAAGCGCTGTTGTATTTTCCCGCCTGTTATTTAAACTCTGGTGTCTGTTGGGTTGGGTTACTTCACTTCCGGTTTTCCTTCGCAGTGGAGTGTATATATAGGGTCTAGCTCTGTGTTTGTTGATGGCCTTCTTAGTGGAAAACCTGAAACGTCTGCGGAACAACGAACCAGCTCGGCGAACCAACCAACCACATCATCCACAACCCGAGCTACAAATCTACTCAAAAACCTTAGAGACCTATATAATATGTTTAAAGCTCCCAAATACTTAATATGTATAAAAACAAAACCTCAAACCTAACATTCATAACCATCGAGTACTGGTAATCACTTAACCTCTCAAAGCTGTCAATCAATCAGTGAATTTATTGCTACCTGTTCTGATAATTGGAGGTTATGCAAATGGTCAAGCAGTAATTATAATGTGATAATGGGACTCAGTGTTATGTTAACGAAATGCAAGTGCCAGAGACGCAGGCATGTATTTTCTTCCACAGAATTGTAAGGACAGGGCAGATCGAGTAGTACATTATCTTTACAAGGAGATTAAAGGTTTGAGAGCCACTCTGAGGAAGGAACGAGTAGGAGGATGCACTAAAGTGGGTGAATGCAAAGAGGGAATGAAATAACCTATGAAATCCTATCTATAGAACGGAAGTAGTCCATTTGAACCAACCAGCCATGCTGTCATTTATGCTCAATCCCAATTCCTATATGCAAAACAACAAGGTGCAGAGCTGGATGAACACAGCAGGCCAAGCAGCATCATAGGAGCAAAAAGGCTGACGTTTCGGGCCTAGACCCTTTTTCTGATGAAGGGTCTAGG